ACTTTAACTGCAACGTGGTGGTCCAGGCCCGCCTTTGCGTGTACGACTACTACAAGACGACGTGCTGTTCGTCGTGCTCTCGAGTGGCCCACAGACAGTCCATTCATCGGGGCCGCAGCTAGCACCCTCCACCAGGGCCCCTCAGCTCCATGTTGGGCCGGACTCAATACCCGCTGCAGGTTCCTGGGTCAGCCAGGGGAGAGGACCAACTGGACCTTGGCTTAAATGGACAAATTATTTGACTGCCAAGGGCGGAAACTGAAGAAGGAACATTTCTGTTGGTTCACTCGGAGGCAGCTGTTGGGAGAAAGGAATACCTAAGTGGAGGACAGGAATTCACTCACTGGATAAACGGAGCCCTGGAGGGGTGAGAGAGATCAGTAGCAAACCGAGGAGCCTGCAAAAAAAACCTAAGGATTTTAACCACAGAGGTTTAATCTAATATAAAGAATCCATCCGTTTATGTTTCAAGGCCGAGCAGCTTGCAGCTGTACTGGCTGTTGTGGATTACGTGGTATGAAGAGGAGAGCACCTGGGAACTGTTAAAGGTGGACTATATATAGAAAGTATATGTTCTAATATGGTTCTTTACGCTTCAATGGTCAGATTCATGGCATGATGTCATATGAAGTTGATGCAGTCTCACCTATAATCAACTATTTAACACCCACTTTGTTGACCAAAGATATGTAACCTCATCAAACTGAAGACAGTGATTAATTAGTACTTTTTCCTAAGAAACAAACACTGCACAAAAACCCCTCCATGGTGCTGATGCTTGTTATTTTAGGCAGCATGGATCCACAAGAATTTGTATTCATTGTGGTACAGATGAGGTTTTTCTTACTGCCTAAACAATGGTAAACCGCTTTCTTGTTTTTCCTGCCTGTCGGGTCAGAGATGTAAATGCAGCCTGTGTAATATGTATGTATATAAGTATGACAGAATGAATGATGTAAGTTTTTTCTTAAAGGGGTCTCAGACAGTCCTCCCAGCAACTGAAGAGAAAAAGGCCCTCTTTACCTATTTTAGTGGCTCCCCAGTGAGGTTGCTGGTTTATCGGCCACCGGTGGCCCCTTGGCTGTGTGCACAGCCTCTGAACTAGGTATAGGCATTCCACAGCCTGCTGGATGGTAGAAGCAGATGGACCCTAAGAAAAACAAAATGTGTATATATATATATATATATATATATATATATATATATATATATATATATATATATTACAACTATTGATCTGGTATGGAATAAATGATGTTTACATTAATAGTAAATCTATAATTTATAAACCATATTGCCCCTTTTTTCAGCTTCATACACAACCTGCACACAGTACCTCTCAAGTGTTCAACTGTTTATATATATATATATATAATTTTATATGTTATCATATTCCCCCCATGCACTATACACTTACCTCTGTTTCATAAGTACTGTATGTGTATCAATGTTAAAGTTCAAGATGACTCAAGTATTCAAATTATTCGATCCCTGAGGTGTGCCAGCATGATGGCATGATTCATTATTTTCCCAAAAACAATCAAGAAGCGTGTAACTGAATTACCAGAATTCTTCAGTATTCCAAATATGTCTGCCACCAATAAAACAACTGTATTTGCCTTATTATTATTATTATTATTATTACATTTCTAGTGTTCAGCCATTGATTTTAACGAGGAGTGTTCTAAAACAAATAAAGAAAATGACTCATTATTTGTACATTTTACAGCATATTTTCTCCCCGTGTGATTCCTTAGTTGATTCAGTTTAATGTCATGTAGAGGACCAGACAGAGATGTTTCTGATTTAAGTCATCCATCTAGAGGACAAAGGCGGCATTACAACACAGGTTTACAGGAGAAGTTCCACCTCTCAGAATGGTTAAGAGAGGTCTACAAGTGTCTGGTCTGGTTCACAGAAACGTTGTGGCCCAAGTCATTTCTAACGGGAGGCACACATATTGATTGTGGACGTTTAAAGTGGTGAGGAATGAAAAAACAACATCACGTGACCAAGATGAGGTTAAAATCTAAAACCCATTCCTGCAGCTCGACCTCTTTTTTTTTTTTTTTTCCTCACCTCAGGGTATCCTCCGGCATCGCGCCAATCGATGGCCAGCAGGTGTCCCAGGCCGTGGGGCATGAAGACGGAGCCCAGGTGAACCTTCAACACTTCCTCCAGGCTGCACTTCAGGATGCCGATCTTCACGAGCTCCTCCAGGTGAACCCAGTCAGCCATGCGGTGTTTGTCAGTTCACTTCAACGCGTCAATACTAATCAAATAATCCTCTTACCATGCTTAAAACAACTATGATTAAATCAGTATCATTTATATACAGGGACTCAGTCTTATCCCCAAATCCCTGTGCAGCATATACTGTCATTTATTTATTATATCATCACGAAAAGATGCAAGGTGAAAGTCGACAAGTCAGTAAAACAGGACACTACCTCGGATATCAATTGTAAAGACAGGCGAGCTAATTATCACCCATTAGATCAGCGATCCATTTGTGAAGTTAAAAGGAAAACTCAACGATCTGTGTTTTTCTCCCTTTTGTCCAATAATTACTTGACATCCTACTGACATCCTCTCACAATGTAGGTATTAGACCAGGTTTAGAAGTGTAGTTTACAGAGAAAATTATATTTGCAAGAACCCAACAACTGTAATAAAGAAATGTTTAACTTTACTGAATGATTTATGACACCACAAAGTTGTACAGGAATAGATTATTTAATTCAAAATGTGTTTAAATCTTAGCTGTGTTCAACATTCAGAGGTTTACTGTCTTTCTAAGTGTTTCATCAATTTACCTTTAATTTGACTTTTGATGATAAACAAAGATAATGGAGCTCTGTGATGACACGGTGCTCATCTTTCAGCTCTTAATGTGAACAGGAAGGTAGCTTTGCCTCCACTGATCACTAAGGCCCCGGTAGTACTCATCACACATGGCCTTCAATACAAAAGGCCAAAGCATGATTTGCAACAACGTCTCAAAATTCTTCATCCTTAATGACGTTGCCAGCTGACAGTTGAAAGCCTCACGCAAAACAGATCGGGTGTGACGCCTCCCTCCCTTAGTGTGGAAGTAGTGCTGGAACAGACTGCAGAAGGGAAAAAAGGATTTCAACACTAATTAGATGAGGAACTTTAACTGCCCTCTTCCTGACTCCACGCTTTTGAAGAATTCATTCAGGACTCATTCTTTAATCATCACACGGTCAAGCACATCAAACACTCAGCGTGTGAGTGTTTCATACACTTCAGCGGTGTATGAATGGTTATGTAGAGTCCTGATGCATGGTAGCTGTAACTGTTTTTGACATACTATAGCTTTTTCCCCACATATTATACTTTTCGACATTACACTAATAACTTGGGTTCTTTCAGTGCCAAATTTCATGACAAATGGCAATGACAAAACGTCCTAAAGCAATTCCTCGGAGAAAGCAAAGCATTTATGGATATGTGTTGCATCCAGTTATAATAACCTCAATGCTAAATACTCACATTAAAAAAAACTGATTACATTTCAAGCACAAGCTGAGCCTGCCATCCATCATCAGTGAATGGTTCTCTATGGCCACTAAATCTCACTATAGTTGGAATCAAATTTTGCTAAATTGTGATAACGTGCAGATTTATTATTATTTTAGGCTTGATGTTCTTTGAGAAGAATCCATTTTGAAGACATTCATGAACAGTTTGGAGCACCATGCACACAACACATTATCTTCTCAGCATGTGTTAAAAATGAGAAGTGAATGATTCTGCATTCTAAACACAGATGTGGTGAGAATGAGTCGTTCTTTGTAGAGGTTTGTGTCGTACAAAGCTGGCTGCTGACTGTGGCAGTGTTTGGTAGTGCAGTCCTGCTAGCTCGGCCAGATGCAGAAGACCTATTTCCACATCAGTGAATGATAGAGACTGAATCTCAGTGGGCTGGGTGACCCACTTTTCAGCTCTCCAAGTGTATGAAAGCGTTGCACGTCACACAGCACTCGGCCGTTATCTAGATTGCCTCACGTTTCTGCCATCTTCTCCTGGCAAAAAGGGATAACAGCAAGGCGTGCCAGCCACTGGCATTGTATCATAAAGAGCCCCAAGAATGTAAATATAAAACATGTGTTGTATATCTTTCATTGGCTTTAGTGTTACTATCACAGCCCTGATTAAGAAGCTTTGTTAGTATTGTAGACTGAATTTGAAATTAATATTGACATGCCGCCATTATTGAGATTAAAGAAAGTGGCCTCGACTGCCGGGGGACTTCCTAGGAAATACTGAGCTCCTCTCTCCTTCTGTATGAATTCATGTCCCATTAATGCACATTAATAACTTTGCTTCTTCTCCGGAGTCTTTGTGATTTCTCACCTCGCAGGTTTCCGTGAATCGTGGTTATATCTGGACCGTGGTCCCGCCTGACACCCATATGCTTTGAATGTGTTGTAACTCTGTTACGTTGTTCATTCTGTACGCATGACATCCATCACACATCTGTGCACCCTGGGAGAGGAATCCCTCCTCTGTTGCTCTCCCTCTTTTCTCCCCGCTAAAGGGTTTTTTGGGGGAGTTTTTCCTGTTCCGATGTGAGGGTCCCGGGAGGATGTTGCACGTGCACAGATTGTAAAGCCCTCTGAGGCAGCTTTCAGATGTTGGGCTGTACAAAATTAATTGAATCGTTACTTTTTTTTCCCCAAAATGTTTTATCAAAATGCTGTACTATGACTTTTCTCGATAAGCTTTACTATCACTTTCTTATTAATTTTTCCGATATACTTAACGACCTTTTTCTACATTATATACTATGACTCTTTTTTGACATACATGATCCTTTTTAGGATGTACTATACTGTCTTTTAAACTGTTTTCAAAATACTATACTTGTATATTATTATATTTCATTCTATCATCTGAATTTTTACAACATTACACTACTGACTTTTTTTTACTATGACCTTTTTATTACAAAAAATAAACAAAAGTCTTTTGCGAACAGTTGACCATTAAAATGTTTATTGATATGAATTTTTGTGAATAAATGTTTACAAAGAGGAACGACTTCAAAATGAAAGTCATTCTTCCAAGAGCCACGATTACCACACATTTTGATTGTGTGTCATACATGCGTTATATAAAAGTGTTATATAAAAGTGAGAAATAAGAGTGAGCAAAAACTTAAGTTTCACTGAAGAATATTATTGTATATCTGTAGCAATTACGCGGCCGCGACCCGACCCCGGATAAGCGGTGGAAAATGGATGGATGGATGTAGCAATTAATGCCATCGCAGTGTGCAGCTCTTTATACTGAGACGTCCTTCAGAGATTCTCACTGGTGACGACGGGGCTGAAGGGTTTTCCAGAGTCGGCCATGAAAGCCTCGATCTCCTCCACGGTGCGAGGGACGCAGGTCAGCAGCTCGATACCATCAGCTGTCACGGCAATGTCGTCTTCAATGCGAACCTGCCCGCAGTAGTGACAGACGTCAGTCAAACAGACCAATTAAAAGGACACAAAATTTGGTCAATGCAAAAAAGTAAATGCGTATAATAATTTGTATTTGTGCTGGATCGGTCACCTAATAATCTGCATTCAGGGAGAAGTTTTTAATTTAACACTTTCATTTCCTTGAACACCACAGTTAAGTGTGAATTCACTACTACAGGAATACTCAACCTTTTTCCTTTTCATAACAGATTATCATCCTTATATCGTTTATGATAATTCACCAATTTAGTGCCGGAGATCAGATACAGTAAGTCCAACAGTTCAAGACCAGAGCAGTCTGACAAAGCCCCCGTTTTATTTGGTCTAAACTACTTATTTAAAATTACAAAACCTCAACTTCCATGCTGTAATACATTGCATTTTCTTTGCATAACTTCCATGTTTAAAAGGAACAATACTCCATCTTTATAGCTCCTAGCGTCACAGTTGTACACAAAACATGGAAGAATAGCAATGATGTCATTCTGTGGACTAAGTATCAAGCTTTCTATTACCCTTCTTGTGAATCCATTCCAACAAACACAACAAAATAAAACCGTAAGCACACTGACCCCGCCAAAGCCTCTAAAGCGAGCCAGCACTTGGTTGTTGAGGAAGCAGCTCTGGGTGGGGTTGGCCAGGGCCTGGTCCAGCAGGTGGTTGATGAAGTATATGCCGGGCTCCACGGTGAGGACCATCCTCTCCTGCACCAGACGGCCCATCCGAAGACTCCTCAGTCCAGGCTCGTCAACACGCTCGACCCCCTGGACAACAGTACAGTTTATTAAAACCTCAGCTACACAATCAAAAATGTTCTACTTTTGATAATAATATTAAGTTTGTAATGATTATTTTGGATGAATTACACTGTAGGATACTTGCAGCCCAGATGCTGCTGGAAACATTTTTCAAGTGGGAATCGGATCATCAAATTGTAAGCTGTCAAAGTTTCTCTGGCAGCCTACAATTAAGAATTGTATTTGACTGTTTCAGCCTTTGAGTCCACCGCTCATTCTGGTTCAGACTGTGATTAGAGATCAATGAAGTCAGATAATTAAGGTCTTCCTGAAACTAGCCAACAGTATAGTCTCATGCGTCTGCGGACTGACTGAGCACTGTTTTCATACTCCGCGAGCTCTGCTTCACAGTGTACTTCCCACACTGACACCTTCTGCTGCTGAACACTCAGCAGTTCCACTTCTGTATTCAGTTTTGAGAAGCGCATAACTGTACAAAATCCTCCACCACAACCTCAAATTGTCAGAGTTCAAACAACATCTACCCTTCCCTCACCCTGAACCTGTTCCACTTCTGCACCGAGGGGTCTCTTAATTATTGATGACACATCAATACTGGAGGAACAGGAATGCGTTTTCTTCTTCTATACTTCTTTAAGCCTTCTATACTCACCTCAGGGTATCCTCCCACGTCGTGGACATCGATGCCCAGCAGGTGTCCCAGGCCGTGGGGCATGAAGACGGAACCCAGGTGAACCTTCAACATGTCCTCCACGCTGCCAATCAGGATGCCGATCTTCACGAGCTCCTCCAGGTGGATCCGGTCGGCCATGCGGTGCATGTCGGTCCACTTCACACCTTCAACACAAGCAGCTTTGTTAATGAGGAACAGAAGTTTCTGTGAACCAAACTTTAATTTCAAAGTGAATGTGAGGAATTTTTTAACTGGTTATGAAACCGTCTTAATCTAATACTGATGCCTCTAGATGACCTACATAAGTAAACGAGAGCGTCAGCGAGGACCGTCTATTTATAGAAAACCATTTCATCCACAGGGACCGCCAAAATCAAGACCAGGTTTGCATTTTACTTGCAGGGTTTTCAAAGAAATACTAAGAGCTCAGCATCTGTAATTAAAATGTTCAGTTGTACTGAAAAACATCAACAAAATAAGATGCCTTTAAAATGCAACAAAACAACTATCAGTTTACTCTCTGCTGGTCATGCTTCTTTGAGGGCAGACGATCACATTTGAAGTACTTTTCCTCGCTTTACTTTTTGTCAGTAAAGTGCGCTCAATAGCTAAACTGACTAAAAGATGACAACCTGGTTTGATGGCAGCCATGACAGTTCGGGAGGCTTTGAGGACAGCCTCGTAGATGGCCCTCTGGTCTGGAGTGAACTTGCCGTTGGCTGGGAAGGAGCATGTGATGTCTGAGGAGTAGCAGTAGTACTCTCCACCCATGTCGAACAGACTGCAGGGGACAAGATTTCAAAACTGTTTCAGCCAAAGTGTTTCTATATCTCTCTCTCATTCATATTCACACACATATACATACATACACACTTTTGTTAGAGTGTGTGAGTGAGTTTTAGGAGGCGTTTGCATTTAAAAACTGTTGAAAGCTACTCACCACATGTCACCGCCCACAATTGTCTTTTCATTCGGAGCACCGGCATGACCGTAGTGGAGAATGGAGGAATTCTTGCCCCTGTTAAAAAATAAACACACTGTGAATTGAAAAGACATATAAATAGAATTCTAATCTTTCAACTTCTTTAACCCTTTTGAATAGAAAGCCCAGACACAGTGCCTCTGTGTAGAATCACTGTCATCAGGTCCTTGAAAAGGGAAATAGCTTGCATCCATTAATCCCTGTGGAGTACTCGTTGCACATGCTCTTTAAGGCAAAAGGCCAAACATGATTAGCAAAAGTGTCTCAAAATGATTCATCCACAATGATGCAGCTAGCTGACAGTAATCCTGAGGAAGTCCAGCTTCCTCTGCATTCTTAACTCGGCTTTGAATAACACATGACGTTTACATGCATCTTTGCAGGAGCATCATTTCAGCTTCAGTTAGATGTTTAACAGCAAAACAATCAACCATTGCCTTACGTTCCACAGATACAGGTGTATGAGGTGTGACGCATCCCTCCCTTAGTGTAGCAGTAGTGCTGGAAGAGGCTGCAAAACAACAAAAAGAAGCAGTCTGTCAGAGAACAACCCCTGTGAGAATAAAGGAGCTAAATATCAGCACAGCAGAGATGGGTGGAAGGACTTTGACTGCCCTCTGCCTGACTGCATGCCTTTTAAAAATTCATTCAGCGCCTGTTCTTTAATCATCACGTGTCCAAGCACATCAAACATCTTTATGGATCTGGACAGCATCGCACAGCCGAGTACGATGTAGAGTCCAGGGTTCCTGCTGCTCCTTACACAGCAAAGGCAGAATAACCATCAGGACGCCACATTATTAAAAGAAAACAACTAAAGATGATTAAAATATTATATTTAACAAAACATTTATTTTCTTTTGCTCCCAGCTTGCCGTCAAGTCAAACTATTTGTATGGCACTTTATTCTTTTTTTAAAGACGCAGTTGATCATAAGCTGCACATAATATAGTTGGTAATGGAACTGCAGCACAACAGATGACGAGTCCTGAAACACACAGGAAGCAATCGGAGGGCGGCTTAGACACTTGGATCCTGTTCTCATTTTCCAGTGAGAAGACGAGAAACTGCATCAAATTTGAAAAAGCTGTGAAAATCAGCCCAAGGTTCTGAACAAAATGATTGATTGTGAGAAGCTAAAAAGGCCAACAACACGAACAGAGAGCTCCACGTACCTCTCCATCTCATATTCTTTGTGTCCAGGTTTCACACTCTTCATGATCTACAGAGAAACAGTGGGTTATATTATTATTTATTTATTTTTTTAAATAGATATATCTCCACTATGGACTGTTAAAATACAGCAAAATAGCAGCCAGAAGTTGGTGAAAACATTTTTCCTACTGTACGACTTTATGAGCTTTTCTTGCCAGTTTCCTTTTTCCCCTCATTTGTTTATAAGATGCTTTAGAATGAATTGTGGATAATTTTCTCAAGCATAGTCTGCAAGATTTACAAACAAAATCGACATAAAGAGTCAGTGCCCCTCTTGCTGATTTGGGAGAGCATTTCCTGTTTTTTTGTTTACCCGCGCACCCACAGGGAGCTAGAGGTGGCTCTGGGCAAAAACATAGCGCTGAAAACGTCCAACGATTGCACTCGTAACTACAGGAGTAAAACAAGATCCAACGCCGATGGTGACGGACTTCAGAGGACAGATAGCACTGAGAGGTTAACTGCTCCTCCGGCCCCCGCAGAGGTTATTCATGGTGTTAAGAGTGAAATCCTGTGCAGAAGTAAGATATCGCTTTAATGTTACAGCTTATTGGTCAAAGGCCATCTCTGTTAACTGCTGGCCCCCGAGCTGCTGGATGAAGTCAGAATCGATAGCATTTAAACAGCGTACAGCCCGAGAGGACCCGGAATCCTTTGGGCCAGTTTTAAACTAAATCAGCTGCTTGATACTTCCATACTTTGGCCATTTCATTTCATACTCTGAACATTTATATTGTTTCTGCTCCTTTCTGTTATCGTTTGATAATTTAAAAGGCATAGACCATTTGAGCAGATTGCTCCTTCTACCCGAGGAGGATCTTACCAATTTATGGGCGTCACTGGAGATCCTGTTGGTGTAGCGCAGGACCTCCAGCTCCATATCCGTCTTCACCAGACGGCTGCGGACACAAACAGAAAGAAGAAGCGAGTGAGCAGCTCCGGTCCATACACAGCCAGTTTATCCAATGTCCAGCCACAGAACATCCATAATTCACCTTTCACATGGGCTTTTCCTTTAATTCACCTTTCTAATATAAGAACTGATGTAGAGGACGAATGTCTAGCAGCGGGTCCTCCATCTTTCCCGGGAACATTGTATATAAATGAAACCCGTCGGGAATCTCCTATAATCTACTGCTACAGGGCTGAACACGTCTTAAAGCACAATAAAACGTAATGCAGTGTTTGATTTGAATCTAAGCTGAGAGACAATGTTAGAACTGAAGCTCTCTCGCCTGCTGATCTCACCATTTCTCATTCATCTTTGCTAGGAAAGCAGTAGCCGCACCTTGGGAGGCTTGATACAATAGTATGAAGGATTTCTACAATAACAGAAACAAGGCAGTGGTAACCACTAGTAACACAAATGAAAGTAAAAAAACAGCCCATTCTAAAGAGAGCCATGTGAGCTCCGTGCAGTGGAGGTTCAATCAACTCCCTCTCCCCAGGAGGTGTGCCTGAGAAGCATTCCTCCTTATTTCAGAAAATGTCAATTCATCTGGAGAGCACAAATTCTAATGCCAAGGACAACCAGGAGAGCACGAAGTCCATTACATCTGTGCAGACTGGCTTCTCACTCGGCGAGGAAAGAAAAAAGAAAAACAAGCCAAAGAAAAGCTCCCGTTTGTGATTGCAGACACACAATTACCCCAGTGGTCAGAATATTTAGGTAATGAAGGGAGCGAAGACAGGAAGTCTTCATTCTCATCTTGAGTGGGCTTTCTGAATAACACAAAACATATTTTAATTACTTACCATTCCACAATGACTGGGTGTAAAAGAGTGTTGTTCACTTGGAAACTGAAAAAAATAAATAAAAAGGGAACAAGAAACATTAAATGAGTCTTTGGACAACATTCTGCCTTTATTCCTCAAAGACTGAATGTCTGATATTTCCTGCGGCTCCATTTTTCTCCATCGCTTCCTCTTTTCCCATGTTGTACAAAAAACAAAAACTTCATTTACCTAACCCAACATCACCAAACTTGACCTGTGATCTCTCTAAATCTGCATCACATCAATAAACATTTTCATGTACTTGCAAATCAAATGCAATTTTATTCAAATGTATGTATTAGGTTTGAAATAACTTTACAGCACAACACTGATTTTTCAAAGCAGTTAAGGTCAGAGTGTGGAGAAACACAGAACCCAGACGAGTGCTGAGAACAACAGTAAGATTGCAATTAACTGACAACTAACGAGCAAAAGCAAGATTCTTTGCTTCATTAAATTATATTTAGAATCTGGTTATTCAGAAACTATCAGTATGCATGAGAGTCTGTTGTGTCCTTGGTTATAAAAGAAAACAATAACCTCCCTAAACAAAAGTATAATTATGTTAATGCAAAATGGCGCTAATTAAACATACCGACTAATCCCTTCAAAGGAGGCTTCGCGGCAGATGCTCCCACTGTCTGTGTTCTGACCGCGCTGCGAGGGGAAAAACACACACAAACAAGTGAAATCTCCACCAAGTGCATTCAAATGTCAATACGAAACACAACACTGGTTCATATCCAGGCTGATGATCCATCCCGTCATGGCTGACGGATCATCTGGTGAAAGCATTTATTCTCAGACTGTCATTCAGCGGTTGATGAATATAATAATCAGGTTTTTGAACGTTGACAATGTGTGGTCAGGCGAGAAAGAGGGAGGCAGAGCTGACTGAACCTCTTAACACTCTGAACCCCAATTTTGGGCGTTTTTTGCTCCCGTCACATTGAACTCTCTGTGGCCTTGATTTTCACTGCAATATGCAAAGTCCTGCATCTTTATGGAAACGGCACAATCATGGCTAGAAGTAGAGATAACACAAACATGTCTTTTGTGCAGTATAACAACGCTACTATGCCATAACTCATAAAAAAGAAAAAAACATGCAAATTGAGTTTATTTGATAACTTATTCTACACTGGAATCTATACATCCAACAATTTTTCCAAGTGATTGTGAGGACTGCAGGTTTTTTGGGGTGGAATTTGAAATGAGACATGTAGAATAAAATGTTTTTGATGAAATATTGATGTGTGACGTGTTCAAGGACCGTCGGAAAGATGAAAATCTCCCGATGATGGCGGTTTTTACAGCTTCTGGCTGCGATAAACAGTTTTGGCGACTGCTTTTCAATCCCGCTGGCATTTTTCGGGGGTTTTAGAGGGCTAAAGACCACCATCCTTGAGTCGGTTCAGTTAAATTCTCCCACAAGACACTTGAAGAATTGGTCCTGTGATCAGTCATAAAATAAAACTATGCATCACTAGCTGTAATCAGGTAGGAGTGAGTGATGCACAGTCCAACCACACCCTATAATACAGAGAGACCATCGGCATACCAGTGTCAGGAGCAGTGCTGGCCTCAGGTTGGACAGGACATCAGCAATCTAGAAGGAAGCAGACAGGGATTAATGAGGAGACCGAGACGCACAGCGGGGAAGCAGAGACGCCTTCTGCTCTCGCTCTGCAGAATAAAGGTCACTCTGGCAGACGCCGTGTCTACGTGGTCCCTCTGCTACTCAGCAGCACACTGAATGACAAACCACAAGCTAATTTAGAACTCCGCTGCCAACAGCCTAAATGTCAGAGAACAGATCCCTGACTCGGCGCTCAGAGACACTGGTGATATTTGAGTATTGGTATTATTATTATTATTATTATTATTATTATTATTATTATTATTATTATTATTATTGATGCCACTAAAATTGACTTCACAACACATTCACTGCAGAAAAAGCCGTCCCGTACACATCAAATTTAAATTGCAGCTTAATTTTAAGACATCGGATTAATTGCTCTTATGCTTAAGAGTTTTAAATGCCGTTGTGGGTGTATCACTCAGTTTAACAGTGATCCAATTACTCAATGACTAGCTGCAACAAAACATAAATAAGAAGAGGTTGATACACGCGTGTGTGGAAAAACACCTTCCATGTGCGAGTGTTTGAAACACAGAAAACTGCTCAAATATTCATGAACTTGCTCCGATAAAAAACGAAATACTGTTCTCTTTCAGGTCCTTTGGTAGGCAGCATTCCCAACTGAACGCTAGACACCAGCAACTGAGTCAAACAAACGAAGAGGCGTCATTATGTGATTTAGTGTTGTTTTCATCATATCCTGCAGTGTTGAGCTGCTACTGCTTCATGGAAGAATTGGCTGTTGATTGGAGTGATAATTAGCACATCTTAACCTGTGAATTATTAGGACATCTAATCTCATTTACACACAGAGTGATTTGTTGGCCAGTGAAAGCCGTTATTTTAAAGTCAGACTATATCATTTTTGATTTGTCAACACGCACACCTCCAAAATAACTCTGGAGCCATCAACCGTCCAATTTAGCACCCCTGGGAATCTGCTGTCAACACCGATATACAGAACACAAACATTCCCCCAAAGTTATAGTCCGTCTGAGCAGGAATGTATTTTGTAGACGAGATAAAATGAAGAGGCTGGATCTGCGGGTAACAGATTTAAAATAAAATTCAAAAATAAAACACCAAAGTTCTCCGGGGACTTCCATGAAAAGTTTGGTGGTTGATGTCCGTCAGAGTATGGCCACTGGTGAATTGTTGAACAAAAATAACGTCTCAGCGTAATACTCTGTAAACCCAAATACCGGCAACATTTTGTCTGATGTCATGGACTGCACCCTCTGCACTAACAATGGAGGCAATGACACCTTCTCCTGTGCAAACCGAATAGTGTCCCCGCTATCTGGAGCCACCGATATCTCTGCATAGAGGTTCAAATAGAAGAATGATGACTTTCACCTTTTAAAAAACAGTCTACGGAGGCACTAAAGTCCTTTGCTGCAACTTCATGGAAGGTGACTGAACACCAAGGTTCAGTTACTGCACGGGGGAAAAGGACAAGGACACACAGACACACAGACTTACATCACAGGCGTAGTGCACCTCATCCACGGCATACTTCTCCTTGAAGTGCTCTTTCGGAAAGATCCTGTCAACAGATGCAAAACACAAATCTAGTAAAAAGAAAACTTGCACTCATTAGGTATTTTTAGGAACCAATCTCTAAAAACAGACACTAGCAGAACTGAAGGATTCAAGTCTAAAATGGCTCTTACAAATACAAATATAATACGTTTATTCTGGGTGCACACAACTTTGTCAACCCTTTCCTCAAGTTACAGCTCACGGCCATGATGATTGTTGGCCGTGTGCGCCGCTCTTTGAAGATTAGTGCGACTCACTCTCCCATCCAAGTGGCATAGCTTTCAGGCAGTTTGGGAACAAAAAGGACGGATTTCCCAGAGTCCACATCAATGGCTCCGTAGCAGCCGGCCTCGGTTATTCCGAAAGCCCAGTGGAAGAAAGACTCCTGCAGAAGTGAAAGAATCAGCCGGAGCATTAGTGCGGGAGATTATAAACAGTCCGCCAGAACAGAAAGTTACTTCCGGTCAGATGATGACAAAAGTAGAAATGAGATGCTGTCCTTAGGAGCCGGTTCACAGAGGTGAATGCTCAAACAAAACTCTGTGTGCCCTTTGATGTTTTTGTTCAAAACCAATTACAGTCACAAGCTTAGATGGGAGGGTGGGGGCGCAAGCAGGGCGCGCAGTGTGCCCTTTGATGTTTCTCTGCAGAGTGGCTGGCCCACATATTTTTGACAGAGTGAAGAGATTAACGCACCGCCGTACATGCTAAGAACCGGACTTCACTTGAGGAAAAGCCAGGAGAGGTTCTGGTGGCGCCCTGATGGAATCTCTTTAGGGATTTGGCACAACCAGCGGAGAGGTGACTGACACAGGAAGTGCTGGAGGGACTTAAACTCACTGCTTGCTTGGGGATCATAGATAGATGGACGGATAAATATATGCAAGACCTTGCCCCCCCCCCCCCCAGCCTAAGTTTTTGGACTTATCCCAGAGTCAACTAACCTGTCTGAAAAGGAGGTCCGTGTCCGTGCAGTGCCTCTGCTTCTGCTCCCCTCCCTGCAGCAGAACCAGTGACTGCGGCACCACTCCGTCTTTGCCTTTCAGCCCTTCGCACAGTCGGCGGCGGTTCTCTGCGAACAGAGCAGCGGACACCCTCAGGGTGTCGTTCCCCAGCCAGTAGACGGGTCTGGAAGGGAGACAGAAGATGAGACGGCGTACTGGTCGGAAAGACAACTGAAGGACTCTGGGTCAAGATTAGAGTTGACTGGTCACAAACTGCACAAGCCTAAAATAACACAACGCTGATATTAAATGCCATTTCCATAATTCAATTACCCGAACCTCTCTCTGTAAATTGATAGTCAAAGCTTTGAATTCTGTGGGCAAATTCAGGAAAATCATTTTTTGATCTGCTGAGCAAGGAGAGGGGACCGGTTCTGTTTTAAGTTCTCTCTGGAGGTAAATCCTCGGGATACGGTCAGTACGTTTCAGCCTGAAGAGGTGGGTGAACCGCGGCGCAACCCGTCTTCAAACAGTAAAGATATGGATACAGACTGAGAGACGCATCCTTGTCACCGATAGGCCTTGGTTATCAATCTTGTTCTTTGGCCCACGGCTTTGCTGATAAGATAACAAAACATGACATGACATATCTGATGCAGCCTGGACTATACCAAAGGTTAATCCATAACCTCATAGCATTTTATGGTTCAAGGATTTCTGTATCATTCGCTGCTGGCTGGCTGAGTTCACAGGTGTACCTGTGACTCTGTGAGGATAGATCGTCCCCAGCGAGGTGGCAAATTATGTTTTTATTGGAGGAAGTACACACAATTGTGTACTACACTGCAATCCAAACACCCTGCAGGGCAATAGCTCAGGGATAAAAAAATAAATAAATACATATACACCTTTTAAAATGTATTATGTACTTGTTTTTTTAGGATTGTGTCAGTTAAATACTCAATAAAACTAAGTTTCTGGCGTTGTATTGTGTTACACAATATCATAAGGGGCGTCTGATGTTTGATCCAACCTCTGGCAGAGATCACCGTGTGATTGCAGACGACTTTCCGATTACCACAGCAGATAGCTGGTGCGTTTTCATCAAATGATCACACCAAGCCTGCGTGGGTTGTGTCGTGATCACGAGAAAATGAAGCTTGTTAATTATTTTATGATTGCAACATCAGCAGTTATCGCATGTTCCCAAAACACAATTATACTGCTGGCTTTCCATGATCTTGCAAATCAGAGCTTTCAATACACATTCACCACAGGTTGGGCAGATACTGTATACATGCATGTAAACTGCAACATTACCATACACCTATAATACTGTTAAAAAAAAAAAAAAAATTAGATAGATAGATAGATATATATTGTGTTATGTAGGTCCCCTACATCCTCGATTATTTCATAACACTTTGGTTATCTTCCCAATTGGATACTGCACTTTTTAAAACACAAAACAGCTGTATCACATACATGCAGTAACCACAATGCATCTCCCAAAGGACTGGGGACATATTGGATACTTTCACCTCTCAGGCCTCTGAAAACCCTTTGAACAAAGTTCGGAAGCTTTACTGTAGAAAATAACTGTGGGGTTTCAAAGCAGCTGTGAGCATGCTTAGTTCAGTTTTAAACATTCACGATTTGGAAGTAAGCTAAATCTATGAGCAGATTAAACGTATTACTGAACGCAGCTCCAGTATTTTTAGTTTAAGACACTAAAGTCAAGAGTTTTCTTTAAGATATAAAAGTGCATGCAATTTGGCCAGTTGAGAAAATGTCTTGTTTTCACAGAGACTGTTAAGGATGCAACATATCTCCTCAAATGTCCATAGTGCAGAAAGTCCACTAACGCTACATCATTACGAAACAGAAACTAACATGTTTGTTACGCAGGTTGACAGAGACAGTGTAGTAACGGCACACCTCGGCCTCGCAGCTGTATTATCAGACGGGCTCACGAGCTTTTCCTGTTACGGTGGACTGAGAGTAGAAGCTACCAAGACTCTCTTAATGATAGGAACTAACATAAATACATGTTCTGGTCAGCGAAAAAGCTGCCAGAAATCAGAAAACTCAACTTACTTTGGTGCTGCAGCCATATTGATGTGCTGGTCTTCAGACTGTCACGTGAGCTTTGTAGGGCTCTGCCTCGCGTATCAGCTGACGTGGCATTGTGCTGCGTTCAAGTCTCTCGGAGAAAAAGAGCTTCAACAGGCAGGAAGGTTGAGAGGCTCATGTGGTGTTATTTTTCCATCTACGACTGTCGTTTACAACGTGCTGCCGTCAGCACGAGAAAAACACCGTCGACTGAATTAAAAGCCGTCAAATGAAAAGCTAAAAAGAAGAGGCAGTCCAAACGATGCAGAAATAAGTGCTGCTAATGAAAACAATGGCGGAAATTCTTCACCCCCTAAATGTCACACCATTGCAAGCACTGCAGTTGCCAAAAAATTACAAAACTGCTGGTATTTTACGACCTTACAATATGCAATATAACACAATATCCTGCAATACAATAGGGAGCAGCAAGAACACAAACAAGTGCAGATAATAACTCAGAGGCCACATGCAAAATGTTTTGGACACATTTTTCAGTTTATTATGGCTACAGTTGCAGCGCATTGGTGAGCTATGAAGTTAAGTCCACTGGGGGCTAAAAGGCCTCAACATGTAAACACTGTTGCAATGAGATGTTAATTAGATGAAGGTAAAAAAACAACAATGTTTGAAATGTTTATTTTTTTAAGGGCTATTATATACAGTTATGCAGATATCATCCATGTTTCAGCTCCCTGTCTATTCCTTATCATTGAGCTATAGCCTACAATCGTTATTTGTTTCTAACTCAAAAGGGGAATAGCACAAGACACAAGACTTTGTAGAGTCACTCAGGAGATCTGCTTTCGGTTCTTTTTTTTTTGGTCATGTGCTGAGGAAGTGAAAGGATCCATGTTCATGAATATAAACGAGCCCACACTAATAACACTAGATGCTCTATAATCACCAGGGGAAACTATCTGTTTACACTCACGTGCATCGGCGCAAGATGTTATCAACTAATTATTTATCCATACATTTTTTTCTTGCCCTCGTCATCAAACTAGTGGACTCAGAAATTAGTAATTTTCAGTCTATCAAGTATCCAAGGGTCAGGAAACCCACTAAACACATAGGGAAGGCTTTAATTTAGTTATTAAAAATGAGACAACAAAAGTATATTTGTTTTTCTGAATAACGTCTGGCTACAACATGCCCCTTGAACTTTAAGTAGATACTTGCAGTTGCATATAAATAATTTCCATTCCAGCCACTATGGCAGAGAAACTCAGTTATGGGATCCTGTCCATATTAAAACCTTAATATTCTGAAAACCATGTGAGACCATCAGAGGCACACATCAAAATAAAAACAGTGTACAGTATACTGCCTCCTTTGATTTGATTCAGTTATGGTGCTTTTACAGTAAAAACAGTAGGGGGAGATGCAACTCTCTTTTGTCACAATGCAGGGAGAGATTTTTAGAAATAATGAATTATTATGAGGGACTGCAGATACATGATGCAGGTAGATGTACGTTTTTATTAGCTTCATAAAGACTTTAATCTAGGTAGAAGTTATTTTTAATGTTTATTTTAACCTTAATGAAGGTAGATATAAAATTTACCATAAACTGTTGGAACTTCTGGACTGGAAGATAGCAAATAACTCAATAATAATAAGATGGTAAAGTATTTACAAATGTAATCTGTCCCTGTCTAAACTCGTTGGAAGTGTGCGCTCGTTGTTTGGACTTAATATTTAATACAAAAATGAACACTGAAGACTTATTTAGATTTCAGGATATTATTAATAAGACTCTTAACCTTCCATCACCCTTTCTGCCAGTGTGGTCTCAGTTAAATGAGGCCGTTGCTCTCTGCACATTTTGCCTGATTTGAACTCGAGGCAGTTTTACCCAGTACTCATTATATTCATGTGCATATATTGGCCACTTTTGAAAAGGCCGAAGTACAATCCAATCATAGTCATCCTTGTTTTTTCTTGTAAAATACAATAAACTTGCAGAAAAGTCAAATGTATTCACAGACAAATCAATGGCTTGATTCACGCTCCTTCCTGACACGCCGCAAAAATATATATCCTAAGGTTACACACCCATAACTTGGTTGTTACCCGCTAATGGCTCCCTGGCAGAGAGAAAGTGTTTCTGAAGTACAAAGGAGGACTCTGGGACACCAGGCGTCAAGCCACCACTGTCACTGTAGACTGAGTGCCAATTCCCCTGCATCCTACATTTTATCTCTAGTGCCAGCTGCAAGTTGTGCTGATACAGTTGTACTGCTCGACTTTGAACTCTCTACTCTCCTCCCTGTGGGCGTTGGACATTGGCAATGGAGGGAGGAGCGTCATCAAACACACTAGGACTGTCAGGACAAAAAAGGGCCGAAATGAATACGCGATGCAGGCCAGCGAGAAAGTAGGGTATAGCTGGGGGTACACATGATTCAAATTTCTGGTGAAAGATAATAAAAAGAGTGTTTTTTTTACAGAAAAAAAGTTAAGCGGTGATGACCTTCTGACTATAACAGTCGCTGTCTGCTCAAACATCTCAAAAAACCTAAAGAGGCTTAACCGTTAACATGACAGCTCCCAGATGTAAATCTGTGTATATATTCTTGCCTTTAACTATTTCTAAATCATTTTTCCGACATGCCCAATTAAATAAAGCCTCAAAAATGATTTGCAGTGAGCATTTATACCTAATGAGGCAAATGTTACTGTAAATTCCAGTGACTACAGAGGCAGAATATTAGTAATGCTTCCCTGTTGCCCACTTATGCGAAGACTGAAAGCTGTGTTTTTAGCTGAATTTTTGCTTAATATGACCATCAGCATATGGATGAAAATAGGAAAACATCGGTGTGTATTATCAGGCAGGATGGATTTGAGAAGGTTCTGCAAACATTGTGACTTTAGATCCATTCCAAAGTCTTCTCACCACCGGAATCCAAAATAACAATCATGATAAATCACCTACAGACCTTTTATATGCAAGCCAATGGGAGATGAGACTGTCACACTCAGAAGATAGATCAGATGGCTTTAAGATTGATCCAGAAACTATCTCAATCCCCCTCCTACAAAACGGCTTCGGTCAATTAGGCAGACAGCGGAGTGTGGCGAGAAGCACCATTGATGCAGATTATTTACTCTCTTCAAATGACCAGAAGAGGGTTTGATTAAAACGTAAAAAGCTGCCTGCAGGCAGATGGATTCTGCTGAGTGGGTTCTTACTGTAATACCTGCTGGTGAGTGAGACCCACGTGTGTCTGACAGAAGTGAGGAAAAGTATGAACTCTGCCAAAACGCATCAAAACACGATAGAAGCAACTAGAATTACAGCCTTGCGGTTTTATGCCTTCGCCGACCAGACATTGCTTCAGTTTACATCCATGTCTGTCCAAAATGTAACCACTTCATCATTTTATCCTTTTAGATATTTGTGTGAGATTGTCATAATTAGCGTAGGAGTTCTTGAGTAATGGCCAAAAAGGTGTTTTGTGAAGTAACAGATATTTTACTCAGTTCAACCTTTAGTACAGGTGGCCGTTTGTGCCGAGTCTAAAGAAATTCACTCAAAGCGTTCCTGAGATACCTCTCGCACAAGAATGAGTCAGACGTGAGGTCACAGTGACCGTTGACCACTAAAATCGAATTATTTTATTTTATACTCTTGTGCCAAATTAGAAGAAATTCACTAAAGGCGTTCCTGAGAATGGACCGCACTGACGACCCAAAAGCATGATGCCTCCGGCCACGGCTGTTGGCGACACGGTGGCATAAAAACATTATTCAAATATAATGATATCCTTTAGAAGCAGATTGTTATGTTACATCATTATATTATTAATAGTACAGCAACTTCTAGATTTGAGCAGGGGCGGGAATGGTTCGTAACAAAACTCCTTTTTAAGGCTTAGACATTTGTCTAACCAATGTGCCTTGAGCAAGTTTCATTTATTCATTCATAAATGTAGTCATACTCTCAGCTTTAGTTAGAATGTGAATGTTAGTGAGGAGAGTTGCTGAAAAAGAAACAGATACACAAACAACTTCATATACTTTAAATTCTAAATAGCTTGAGGGAAAACTACGCTCGATGCAAAATTATGAGATTTCTTTCAGCCTATAGGAGGTGAACTCTGTAAACAGAGGATAGACTATTTGAGGTTACAAGGTGAGAAACGAGACACGCCATATAAATTGTGTTCATGATGACGGCAGTCAAAAGATCAGACAATATGCTAATCACCTCAGGTCTAATATGGCTTCATCATCTGAAGCCATTTCTTCCTTCCTCACCCCCTCGTTTTCTGGTCTGCAGCTTCATGATGTTACAAAGTGTTCTCTAATAATCACACAAGCAGCCACATCAAACACATTTGCTGTTCTGACCACTCAGAATTAGTCTCAGGATGTCTTGAATAAGTGATATGAACTGTCCCCTTGCACTGCATGTCTGGCCCTGTGTGTTATTATGACCTTGGAACCCTCCACCAATATCCGACAAAAACTGTATTTATTGCATTTGTCATTGAAAGGTATCCTGATAATAATCAACATAACTGTGTAACGGCAAAGCGCGGAAAGATATGAATGTGACTGTGGCTCTACAACATGAAGCATAGCGGGTTGTAGGTCAAAGCTAATTATTAAGATGCATTATTCTAATACAGCGCATACGGTTTCATTGTTCGCTGATTTTAGAACAAGAATCGGCCCCAGAAAGTAAGAACAAGAGCACTGTTGATTGCACATTGTGCTATATAACGCATAGACCTCCACCTGAATGAAACACTGATCACTATCTAAACAAACACACAAAGGGCTGAGTTAACAGAAGAATATCAATTTGTAGCTAAAGCCTACGGGGGGTCTGTTTGAGGTAGAGTAACACTGATTATTAGCTCCTGAAGCAGATCAGCACCAGGCTAATTACAACAACACCCTTTTACTCCAGTAAGGAAGGAAACCAGAGTTGTTATGACCAACTAATACATACGAGAGCAGTGCAGGGAAAAAAATCACACTTTTCTTACAGTAAAGGGAGTGTAGTTTAGTGGTAAATGTGTTATGTTTCATATATGTCATGCCTCCTGCTGTTACTTTTTG